GTAGGGCATCTTCTTACCCAGGGTCAAGATCCTAGGTTCCAGCATAAAGCCGTGTGTATAACAAGTGTTAGGAAGTAAAGCTGAAAGAATTCTGTGGATTTCTTTCAATGATGAGAGAAAAAAAATGGGGAGACAGAAAATCAGTTTATTAATTCCAGAGACTCAACACTGAATAACAGGTATCCCACAAGGCAAGAACAAACTGGAGGACAGAGATTGTCAAATAAGTAGGAGAAAATATCCCAAACCTGAGGAGATGGAGTTCCTAGATTGTTAGCACTTACCCACTACCAAGTCAATAAGTGAAAAAAGAACTGTAGTTCATGGTTTGTATTTTTAGAAAACCAAGGATAATAGAAAATCCTAAAAGTTTCTAGAGAAGAAAGAGGTCACACCTAAATTTAGGCTTTAGAATGATACAGAACATCTAGGAGCTACAAGACAGCAGCACATTACCTTCAAATGAGGAAAAATATTTACTACAAATTCTATATTCGACTAGGAGTTCTATATGTCTAACTGTATGTGTTGATAAGAGTGTTTAAGTCGTTCAATGTTTTAAAACACTCAGTCCACATTCCTTTGACCAGAAAATCACTGGAATATATGCTCCACTTAATCTGGGGAATAAACAGTTATAAAACAAACAAAAAGATCTGGCAGCCTGTCTAGCGTAGGAGAGATAAGAGGAAGAGGAAATTCCAGAGAGGAAGGGAAGAGACATAACCTGGCTAGCTAGTTGTCAGTGGTTCAGCAACCTAAAGCACAAATAATCCAGGTTTGAATGTGAGTGATCCCTGAGGAGTGTCTACAAGATTGTGGCTGACCTGTCACCGGAGGGGTATGAGATGGTGATGAGATTTCTGGCTCTGGTGGGGATTTTGAGAGTCATTCAGTAAAAATACATAGCAAGTGGTGGGGGGAATCATGGAAGAGAGAGAAAAAATGGAAGGGAAGAAGGGAAGATAGGAGCAAAGAAAGAAGTAAGAGATATTAGTAATTGCTAGTTTCGGGGAAATGAAATTATACAATAAAGGAAATTTAATTATACCATTCCAATTTTGGGCTCTGTATATTGTTTACTTAGTAATAGCACTGTTTGAGCTGACTATTGATTTAGAGAAAAATGATGACTCATGTTGGGAGGACTGGGGAAGGAAGAGAGGTATGTATTGGGAAAGAGGTATTAACTTTTAAAATCATGTTTTTAGGGGATGGGGTTTAGCTCAGTGATAGAGTAGTTGCCTAGCATTCAAGAGGCATTGCAAAAACCAATTAGAAAATCAATTCTATATAGATATATGTATGTATATATAACAAGTAAAAAATTAAGTATTTAAGAAATAGATTAGTAGTGAGAACATGGAGGTAATGGGGCATAGTTTATTCTTAATAATTTGGGTTGTAAAAGCCAGGCATGGTAGTACATATCTGTAAGCCCCACACTGTAGAAGCTGAGGCAGGAGGATTGCAAGACTGGCTCCATACCTACACAAAATCAGGGTGTTTAGAGTATTGCAATTGCCCCCCCCCAAAAAAAAATAAGACAGTCTCCAAAATATGGATGAGTTGAGATGGATTTACTAGAAAGGGAGAAAGAATGAGTTCAACAAAAAGAATTCTTGATACAGGAAGCTCCCACAGGAACTAGGGCGGCAGAAAAAGCAAATTTAGGATACTCATCTGGCCTTGCAGACAAATAGAAAGGGCAGAAATTGAATAAGCAGGAAGGTTTCAGTGCCTAGTATGAGAAGAATAAAAGAGAAGGGGCATTAGTCAAGACATTATTAGACCCTGCCATCCTGTGGGATAGACAAGGGCTCCGTGTTTTGGAGACTGGAAAAGGGAAGTAGTTGGGTAAAGTCCTTCCTCAGGTACTTAGTTTGGGGAGTAGGGATTTGGAAAGTGTGCTAATGAATGGAGGCCTATCTGGGAGGGCTGTGTTCCATTGACTAGAAGCAGACAAAGATTGCATTGTTTCTTCCCAGGCTCTCGTCCAGGGTGAAATAGGTGCACACAGGGTCAGGGCTGCTGGAGGTCTCCTAGAGAGAGCCGGGGGAGCTTGGAGAAGGTCACCTGACTCTTCCTAGAAAAGACAACTTGGAAACCACCTTTGAAGTTGAGTAGAATGACACCCCAAAAAAGAGGAGAAGAGGGGGCTTCCCGGCAGTGCCAGGTGCTGAGATAGGAGTACAGAGCGGAAGTCACCTGCATGCTTTCACGAAGGAACCAGCTCTGTCGCTTTCTCCAGTTGCGCTCTGCCGTCCAGGGCAGTAGAGAAACAGGTTGGTAAGGTGGGAATATCCTAAGAGCATGTCTGTGGAGAGCAAATCTAGGATGCTGAGAGGAGACTCATGGTGTCTGTCATCGAAGGATGCAAATAGACTCTAGAAGAAAACCTATGGACGATTCCAGTTCCAGTGGAAGGGTAGAGTAGCAGAGGCAGTGAGGTTAAAGTCAGATTGCAGGATTTTCCTCTTTTCAGCATGGACTGAGGTGTATAGGGGAACCTGTTGCTGGTAAGAGCCCAGACCTGCCCATTGCCTAGCTGAAGTGGGAAGCAGCAGGCTGGCTTTCTGCCTGCCTGGGATAGGTCTACACAGTGTCTGAATTCCTTTAGGGCTCTGCCCAGGCCATATGCATTGTATTCCCACTGCATGGTAAATGAACATGGGAATGGAATATTTGCATAGACTTTACACACCAAACATCCCTAATCTGAAAACCTGAAATCCCAAACTTTGGATACCAACATATGATTTTCAGATTAGAGACTTAAGCTGTATATGGTTAAGATTGCATATAGGCTGAAGCAGGATGATTGCTAATTCCAGGCCAGCCTGGGCTACACAGAAAGCTCTTGTCCAAACACATACCAAAAAGACTTTCTCCTCTTCTTTCTTCCAGGGAAGAGGGCCGAGGCCTAGCCCCTCCCAGCTCTCTGGGGCAGGACTTTGATACTCCCAATTCGGCTGGCTAGTGCTTTGGCCTGCCGACCTGGCACCTGCCACCCAGAGGCTCAAACCTGAAGGATGTCAGTGTAGGTGACAAAGTACTATACTTGGAAACAGTGGCTTCAAGAGGTGTTACCCAGAATGATATGACATGACTACAAGCTTCCTGTGCTGTTTGTGTGGTCAGCATTTGATCTAAAGAAGTAAAAGAATAAAATATACCTGGGACAGTACATGAACAACAGATGGGAAATAATTACAGATTCACAACCATCACTCAGCAGTAGTCTTTGAATGTGTTTTACACACTTGGAATGAATGAATGAATAAAAATGACTCTGTATTTGTACAGCTCTCCCTGTCTATGATTTCTCATCCATGGATTCAACTGACTGCAGATTGAAAATAATTGGGGAGAAATAATGAACTGCAACTATGGCTCTTTGCGTGAGGCCCTGGGTTCCAGCCCAGCATCATCAAACAAAGAAAAAATTCGGAAACAACTATATCATGTTTAGATTTTTAGAATCACTCTTCCATAAACAGTACAGTAAAACAACTGCTTATATAACATTTATGAGATTATTTGAAGTATATGGAAGAATGTATGTAGGTCATTTACAAATTACCACACCATTTTGCATTAGGGAATTTGGGCATCCTCAGATCCAAAGAGGTTAATCCTGGAAACAATACTCTGTGGATACTGAGGGATATTTATGTTCTTTTTTGACTTTCTTCTCTTATCAGTGTTACATTTTTGAAACTCAATCAGATTGAGGTATATAGCTGTGTTGATGGGTATTAGCTTCTATATTTCTTTTGTAAAAAACAATACATCCTAACTACCTAGGAGGCTAAGATCCACGGATCATGGTTTGAAGCCAGCCCAGGCAGGAAAATCTGTGAGATTCCACCAGAAAGTTGGATGTAGAAATGTGGCTTAAGTGGTAGAGTGCCTTCAGTAAAAAGGAAAAAAAAGTTCAGGGCTAGATGCTGGTGGCTCATACCTGTTATCCTAGCTACACAGGAGGAAGCTGAGATCTGAGGATCAAGGTTCAAAGCCACTCCTGGGCAGAAAGGCCCAGGAGACTCTCATCTCCAACTAATTATTGAAAAGCTGGAAATAGAGCTGTGATTCAAGTACTGGAGCACTAGCCTTGAGCAAAAGAAGCTCAGGGACAGCACTCAGGCCCTGAGTTCACACTCCAGGATCAGCACTGGGGAGAAGACCGAAGGAAGGAAGGAATTTCTATATATTTGCAAAATTTCTTTGGATGTATACTTAGAAAGGAATTTGCTGCTCTATGTTCAACTATACTAGATAGGGAAAACTTTTTCAAAGCATTTGCACTAGTTTGCCCTCCCACTAGGAGTAAATGAGAGTTGCTATTGTTTTGAAATACCTTTGTGATTTTCATACAAATTCCTTGACTGGTAAGAGAGTAAGCAGCTTTTCATATGTTTAAAGGACATTATGTGAACCTTGTACTCAGTTATTTTGCAGACTTTTCTTAGGTTGACTTGTTCTCATTGTTTGTTTTTTTTTTTTGGGGGGGGGTCCAGTTGTGGGGCCTGAACTCTGGGCCTGGGCTCTGTCCCTCAGCTCTTCAGCTCAAGGCTAGCACTCTACCACTTGAGCCACAGCGCCACTTCTGGCTTTTTTCTTTTTGCTTATGTAGTGCTGAGGAATCAAACCCAGGGCCTCATGCATATGAGGCAAGCACTCTACCACTGAGCCACCTTCCCAGCCCTTCTCATTGGTTTTTAGTCATTCTTTTTCAATTCTGGATCCTAACCCTTTGTCTCCGTTTGCAACATGGGTTGCAAGTCAACACGCCTCCTTCAATTCGGCAAACCTGGTTACCAAAGAGAAGGGCCTTAAACAACAGGGAAGGAAAGCCATAAGCCCAGGCGTCTGTTGTAGGCACTGTAGTGACATTGCTCTGTGGGTGTGTCAGGCACGGAGCCAGCATCTGGAGCGAGTCTTGGTTACATCTTAGTTCCCGACTGCTGCTGACCTATGTATGGTACTTGCCTTTGCAGGTGGAACAGGAGGATTTTGTAATGGAAGGGCATGGCAAGACTCCACCTCCTGGTGAAGAAAGCAAACAGTGAGTCACAGTTTATTTTAAAAGGGTCCTATTACAGATCCTCACAAGCACTTTGATTCAATGCGCTTGAGATCCTGTTTGCCTGGGATGCATACATTGTGGAACATACCAGTTCCTTTGGTGGTGGTTAATGCATTGCTTCTATTTATAGGCCAACTAACTGGAGGGACAAGAAAGTTGGCTTTGTAGCTTTTTACATTTGACTAATCAAAATTTATGTTATGCTAAGCAAAGGCTTTAAGACTTGGGATATTCCAAATTGAACTAATTCAGTTTAGTTGTTTTCCAAAGAAAATATAAAATTGTGCATCTTTTCATAGCAATGTCTTCACGAAGTGAACTAAATTAATAGACTTTTCCTCACATTCCAAGTGTGAATTTATTTGAATAGTACTTCCTGAATTCTATTCCAGTGGTTATTTATACTTCTGATCATTGTTTAAATAACAAATCGCTTCCTAACAGAACAGAAATTATAAATAATACAACTTAGCCAACATTCTAAATAATTCAGGATATCTCCTCTGACTTTTTAAAGGGTGATTGGTTTTAAACTTGATTTTGGAAACTGCTGGGTAGCTTTTTCATGGCAGTGGGTAGATTTTTTTTTTTTTCCTCTGTCATAGAATTTGAAAAATTGTGCTGCAGAGTAGACTGGTTTTTCATATGCCCTTTTAAAGGAAAAACACTTAAGATTGGCTTAAAGTACTGACATACCTACTATTTTTTTTATTTAGTCAGTAGTCTCCTGAATTGAATAGGATCATAATTCATGGAATTTACTGAAAATCTGTAGAGAGAGAGTTCTTTCCCTCATCTTTCCCTCTCTCCCTTGAAAATAGTTTAATTTTGGTCTGTCTTGAGGAAATGATGCCTCTGGAACACTTAGGAATGAATTTTGTGGGCTAGATTGTGCTGGCCCGGTTGAGAATGGCTTGTCTTGAGTTTGCAGTGAATGGAAACCAGGTTATTTTCACAGCCGGTTTAATTTGCTAACCTAGCAGTTTTAAAAATAGCTCACAATATAAATCCTAACTTTGCTGTCTTCTGTCTAATGCATTTATATTTTAGATGAACTGATGGAATCAATTCATCTTTAGCAAATTAGAATGCCAGACATCTGTCTGCTCCCAGTGAGACTGAAATAAGAGGAGAAATACTTGCAGAGCTTTTCTCTGTGGCCCTAGCACCATCCTCCCCTTACACTGCTCCAAGGTCTTGTAACTTAGAAGTTATAGCTTCATTTGTCAAAAGCTTTCTGTACATAGATAGTTTGGTTAGATAGCTTTATAATCTATCATCTCTACTCCTCAAAGCATATTGTCTCAATTTTACTCAGATTAGAGTGGGAAACTTGCCCATGGTAATGCATTTTGAACTGAAAGTTAGGATTTGAACCCTGATACTGCTGACTTTAAGGTGTTTTGTAGTGTCACTCTGTCAAATCCTTTCCCTCCCCTACAGTGTTCCTAAAAAGTGCTGTAGTTAGCAAAGCTGCAGCTGTCCGGGTCACAGCCTCGTAAGTAGAAGGGAGTTGGGGGAATCAATGAAAATGGCACTAAGCCCATCTTGAAGACACAGATGAAAACTCCATTCTCCAGAGAGTGTCCATTTCCCAGACAACCTGCTGATTGTCTTTAAAGCCCTGCTCTAGTAACCCCTGTTCTGAATCAGCTTCTATAGGTACTCAGGAAACATTTCAGGGTGAGATTCTACCCAAGTTCTATGTTGTGCATCCAGTGTGTCCTGCACAGTTTCCAGCAGCCCTGTGGGACCTCAACATCTGTGTAGTGTCTTTATTTGGCTCTTAGAAACCTCCTATGACCTACTCTTTGCATAAATGAATTCTGCTTTGGTTTGGAGAGTTGTGTTTTGTTCTGTTGGTGCAAAGGATAGAATCCTGGGGCCTGGATTGCTAAGCGAGCATTCTCTCACTAACCTATATCTCCAACTCCTGCTTTTTTGGGGAGGGAATGAAGTCTCCTATCTCATAGTAAAGTAATAAAGCAAAAATGCATCTTCTCACTATGTATTCCTCCTCTGGACCTGTGAGAGTGGGAAGCAAAAAATTTGTGTTCTTTTAATTTTATGTATATGTGTGTGGGAGGGGGGAAGGATACTCATCCTAGTGCTTGAACTCAGGGCCTGGGTGCTGTCCTCTAGCTTTTTGTGCTCAAAGCCAGCAGTCTTAAGCCACACCTCCACTTTCATCTTTTTCTGAGGTTATTTGGAGATGAGGCTCATGGACTTTCCTGCCCAGGCTGATCCTCAGATCAGCAGTTGAGTCATAGATTCCTGGCAGACTTTTAATTTTTTCAAAAAGTTAATTATTTTGCAGTGCTAAGAATTGAACCCATGGCCTTACACATACTAGACAAGTATTTACCAGTAATACTGACTTACGTTCCCCAGTACTAAACTTTTTTGTGTTCGTACTGGAGCTTTTATTTATTTATTTATTTGTCAGTCATGGACTTGAACTGGGCCTGGGCGCTGTCCCTCAGCTCTTCAGCTCAAGGCTAGAGCTCTACCACTTGAGCCACAGCGCCACTTCCAGTTTTCCAGTGGCTAATGGTAGATAACAGTCTCATGGACTTTCCTGCCTCGGCTGGTTTTGAACTATGATCATAGGTGTGTACCACTGGCACTGACTTTTTGTTCTTTTTTAGCTTTCTGGTTTTTTTTTTTTTTTTTTTGTGGAACTAAGGACTGAACTCAGGGCCTTGCACTTGCCTGGTGCTCTTCCACTGAACTAAATCCCCAACCCTTTACTGAAGCTTTAAACTTAGGACCTTGAGCTCTGCCTTGGCTCTTTCACTCAGGACTAGCACTCTGCTGTTTGAGAGACATCTCTACTTCTGGCTTTAAAAAAAAAAAATCATTTGGCTGGGTGCCGGTGGCTCACGCCTGTAATCCTAGCTGCTCAAGAGGCTGAGATCTGAGGATTGCAGTTCAGAGCCAGCCTGGGCAGGAAAGTCCGTGAAACTCTTTATCTCCAATAAACCACCAGAAAACCGGAAGTGACGCTGTGGCTCAAGTGGTAGAGCACTAGCCTTGAGCTGAAGAGCTCAGGGACAGCGCCCAAATCATTTGGACATAAGGATCTCAGATTTATATGAGTGGACTTCTGCACATAGGCATGTGCTGAACCACAATCCTCAGATTTCAGCCCCTTGAGTAGCTAGGATTACAGATGTGAGCCATCAGTGCCCAGCAAGCTTTATTTTTTTTCTTGTCTAATGACTATTGCTAAACTTTATATACATTGAACCCTGATTGAATCCTGGACAGGAGATCTATGAGTGAATACTACACAGCAGGACCTAGAAGTGACACATTCCTAGATGACTTATGAGATTACCATTATCTCTTTTAAGATTAATGGAGAGTAGTGTGCAAGGAGAGAAAAGTGCGACTCTTTTCTTACCTTCCTTCCCTTTTAATCTTCCTAAATATATCCATATATTTCAAGACAAATAGATTAGATTAGTTTTGTTTTTTTGAGGCAAGCTCTCTAGAGCCCAGGCTGGTTTGTAAAACATTTTTTTAGCCCAGGCTGGCCTTGTACTTGATATCCTCCTGCCTCTTCTGTCATATGGTAATTCAGTCACAAGATACAGAGAAGCCACATTTTGATTGGTCGAATTGGGAGTCTTTATTAGAAAGACAGTGACTGTGTGTGGAGACATGTCCCCCAAAAACTTGCATCCTTGAATACTCTTAATATTGTTAGGAAACTGAGCCATGGGGGTAGCTGAATAAAGAAAGAACAACAACCAAAAAAAACCTATCTCAACCAAGTAGATCAGCTAATAGAGAGCTGAAGAAGGATGGCATGGTGACCTGAGAAGGGTCAGGAGACATGAGACACAGTGCAGAATGGCAGCCGAGGTGGTGATGGAGTGTCAAATAGGGTCATGGTCAGGGGACAGGGTCACAGGGAGCTCAAGAGTCTCCAGAGTACTTAGGATAGGTCTGACAGGTGCAGTAATCTATTGTCCAAGTCCCTACCCCTGCCTCTAGGAATTCAGACCCGCTGCCCATCACCTGGGGGTGGTACTTCACCTTCCATGTACCAAGAAGCCAAAATGATGCCAGTTAGACCCAATTCCTTATTATCTACTACATTATCAAGATGGCATCAGTTGGACCCAGTATCCTTATTTCACTACCTTCCATGTGCTGGGATTACAGATACGTATCACCAAGCCTGGTTGAAAACAAGTAGAGTTTTTCCCTCAATATAATTCTGAGACTTGCTTCTGTAATTTGATATCTTTTATAGTCTCATTCTTTTAGACTCAATTTAATTGAGCTGTCACTTACATTTGTGTATGGTATGAGGTAGAATGCTAGTTTACTTCTTTTCCAAGTTGATTTCCAAAATGGCTGGCATTCATTTTTTATTTTTATTTATTTATTTATTTTTTGTCGGACATGGGGCTTGAACTCTGGGCCTGAGTACTGTCCCTCAGCTCTTCAGCTCAAGGCAAGCACTCTACCACTTGAGCTACAGCGCCACTCAAGGCAAGTGCTCTACCACTTGAGCTACAACTCTACTTCCGGTTTTCTGGTGATTTATTGAAGAGTTTCATGGGCTTTCCTGCCCGGGCTGGCTTTGAACCACAATCCTCAGATCTCAGCTTCCTGAGTAGCTAGAATTACAGGCGTGAGCCACCGGTGCCCGGCTTCATTGGCTATTTTAATTGGAGGCCTAGGCTAGATGCCTGACTCTAAGGGTTCCACCATGTGAATAAGGGTGAAAAGGCAGGGAAGATTTTAATTCGCCATAGCCATGCTAGGAGGAGGAAAGGTAAACATGTCAGCCCATCTATGGGATACTGACATCTGTTTCAGTTGGAATTGAGGAAGGATTGGGGCAGAGCTTTGGGATAGGCAGAACTAAGCAGTTTTTGTCCTGGAGAGTCTGGTTGATCACTAAGTTCTGGTGTCATAAGGTGGCCTGAAGAAGTTCCTATTCTTGGAAGGGACAGTCTAGT